ATGGATAGCAGAACATCACGACTGACGTTATTAAAACCTAGAAAATAATTTTATGCTACTTTAATACCTAGCATCTGAGCCTGTATAAACAAAACTAATAAATATTTTTAGCTTTTCATTAATATTAACAAACAAATGTATATGAGACTTATTTACAAGAATTTTACAAGCTAGATGGTGTCAGTTGATTATGCTTTGATTAATCAACTACTGATATCGCAAGTACTTGACATTATTTTTAGGTTTTTATTAGCATCATAACAACTTTTCTTACGTGGATTTCTTTTTTCTCGGGATATATGGACTTATTGCTTATTTTATATTCTTATTGCTTAATAATAAAATAAAGTGGAAGAAGGGACACGAATGGTAATTAGGTTGTTAAGTTATGCCATAGTGTTTTAATTATATTATTTATTGGCTGCCCTGCCCAATTTGCACTAAAATAAATATTCACATAAATCTTTTTATATATAGATGAAAGATAACTGTGTTTAATTTTGTTTTAACTTTGAAATGAATTTATAGTCGCCTGCATGTCAGAAAAGTGCAAAACAAAAATCAATCTTCCGAGCCTTTTCCTAAACTAGGTTGAGGTCGGCGTTGAGTCTACTACGATGCGGCTGAACTTCTAATTTTTACGTGGAGCGTCTGCTATCAGAGCTCCACAACCCAAGCACAAGGCGAAGTTTTAGAGCTTCAAGTAACCGTAACGATTACCACAGATGTTCGTATGGAAACCGAGACCGACGGCTTGATGTGTTCTTCGAGGCAAGGAGGGGTCTCAATGTGTTAGACCTATCCATAGACTGACCTGGCTATGATTGCTTAACTTTGTAATGTGTTAACCTACTCACTTAGAACTTGACACGAGCAAAGCAAAAAACAATATCTAATATAATTCACTACAATGCAATTCACTAAAATTTGGGTTATTCTTAAAAAAAAACTTAAGTAACTCAAAAATAAACAAGAGAAATAGGAATATCAAAAAATAGTATTCTGTGACTAAATTAGCTCCAAATATACTCTACTTCAATCCCTTGAAAGGAATGTATTATATTACCTGTCGACTTATATTTTTGTATAAGTATGTAGGTCTACATCTAAACTATATAGTTTTGATGTAGGTGCTTGTACAATTATTAACAAATATGAAAAAAAAAAACATTTTGTAGGAAATATGAAAAAAACATTATGTAGGATTAAATAGCTCACTATCAATTAATAAAAATCACATCACCAAATCATCAGTTTTCTTTCAGTTTACCCATGAAGTTGGAGATTTTTAAAACCAGCATTTGTGGATTGGCGCGCAATTCGAAATTCAAATTTTAGACAGGGTTTTGTTTTTGTGAAATTGTGGTAGTTTTTGGCGCCATAAATAAACTGTAAATTCGTACAATTTTCGTACTGGCCTAACACTGCATGCATAAACACGGTCCATTATAGGTTCAATCGTTTTAGATCTGTAAATTTTGACTTGAAGAACGAACCTCACTGTCGGCCGGTAACTATAGTCGACAACGACGAATTGAAGGCGATAGTAGAAGCGGATCCAACTCAATCTACGGCTGAGCTTACTGCGGGCTTTGGAGTTAGTGACGAAACAACATTCTTTCTTTCTTTCTTTTTTCCTTCTTTAAAAGAAAACTCCCGCACTAGGAATATATCCTGTGTTGCGGGGGACTTTACGAACATACATGAAACGGACGCAAGGAACACCCATATTTCAGAACAACATTATGTGGAACTCACAAAGTGTTGTTCCATGGGGGGCTCGAACACAACAAGGATTAAACTAGAAATGCGATGTAGGCAAGCGTACATGAATCTCTGAAATCATTCGCGAACGCAGCGACCGTCAGCGAGCGAACGACGATCACTACTGGTCAATCGCTCTTCATCATTGCTTCTCTACGACAACGCGTGAGCTCACAGCTTCACGACCGATCATCTCAAAGCCACAAGAGCTACACCTGGAAGCTCTCCATCACCCACCGTACTTTGTACACCAGAAGTACTACCAGACATTGCCCCAGTAGATTTCTACTACTTTCAAAATTTAGTTAACTTTTAGAATTTAGAATAAAATGGACATCCGAGTACGACAGGCAAAACGCTTTCGCTGACTTCATCGCCCTCGTCCAGGAGACTTCTACAATAAAGGCATAAACAAATTATCTATTAAAGTTATCCCAAATTATCTATACAATTTTGCAAATAAAATGGCAAAATTGTATAGATAATTTGGGGGAAAACTTTAATACAAAATCTCTACTCTACTTACTAATCGTCTAAAAAAAGAAAGTAGTTTCGAAAAAAATGGAATTACATCATTCAGTTGTACAGATTGTAATAAAAGGGTCATTTAACATCTTCTCTATGGCACATTAAAGATAATAAATAAGCAATTATTGGAAGTTATTACATCCCTGGCCGATCTGTAGATCGAATCTTTTTCTTTTCTTAAGTATCAAGGAAAATGGCAAACATGATCCTTCTGCATCTAAGAGTAATCTTAACCTGACGTAAATTCTTAAACCACAAATACAGTAGTTTTTAAATAAAACGAATCCCTGATATCTTGAATAGTGGGTTACCCAATACACAGAGTGCAAGACCTATTTATATTTATTGATTGAATTTTTTGCTCTCTGTCTGATTCTGTGGGGTTAGTATGGAGGGTAGAGGCAAGGAGAACATGGGGGAAATGATGAAAAATGTTCCAACTGTATACTGAAAATGTTTTTGATATTAAGAGCTTCAAAATTGAAAATAGATCTAAACTCAGATTTATTCCCTCATTCATTTAAATACTTTTAACACTCAGAAACTTATTCCCATAGAACTTGAACTGCCGGCTCTAAAACATATTTTATTCAGCTACATGCTCGAGTTTCAAACGGTTGTTGAACACATGTAACTATTCGTGATGGCTTCTATACATATGTACATAATTAACTTTATGATAACAATAACACGAAGTCAAATTAGGTACCATGACGTCAGAACAAAATTAGATAATAATTTTATAAATGTAATGTTGATAACTTTTTAAATCACGGTTTTCTTGATATGGTTCATCAAGATACAAGGATTAAGGAATTTTGTTTTTCTTGTCGTTACACTACCGCTGCGTTATCTTGAATAAAGAACTGTAATTCTACAGATTACAATAAAAAAAAAACATATTCCTTTTATTTCTTAAACATTATACTACAATATATAAACATTGTAAATAGTGTTTCATGTAATAGTCAACATATTTTTGTTAAGTAGGCAAGGACAAATTGCCTGCCTAATTCAAAAAAAATCCTATGTTAAAATCTCAATGTTCAAATTTACCTGCATTATTCTACGTCTTATATTTTAGTACATACCTGTAGATGTGGCTTTTTAGCGCAAACAATATACAATGGCGCCACGGGGTAATGTAATATACCCATAGACCCATTGCTTCTTCAACAGCAACTATGACAGTTCTACTTATAACGGTGAAGAAATAAAACACAACATTTAAAATTTTTCCTATAGTATCTCAATGGGTTTAATATTTAAAAGAAATATTGAATACTTTGAAGAATTGAATACTAACTACTAATTTTCATACAGGCTGAAATTCAGGAACGCACTTTATATGGAGCGCCCACAGAATATGCCGACGGGTTTTAAAATATGTATCTTCTAAATGATAAGAACTCTTGAACATCTTTCCATATTTCTATTCAAAAGAATCAAATGTAAATAGTAGTTCTGTTTTAAATTAAGCTATTTTTCTCTTCTTCTTCAGCTTTGCAATTATCCTTTTATCTCCATTTATTGATGGTGATCATCTTACATATGTTTTGCAGGTGACATTAACGGACGACTCTTCTCCTTGGTCTTTTTTATTTTGGAAAGGAATTCCTTCTCTTACTTCAGTTTCTAGAAATCCTTCTGTCGGTGGTCAATGAATTTGCACCTCAGCTTCAGCTAGTAGTTGTCGATGTACAAGATTGCTAAAATCTCTAGAATCCTCGCTTTCACTGTTTCCATCGCTCAATCTGTCATTATTAGGCGGCGGTAGATACATTATAGAAGGAATTATTGCGATATCATTTTCTAAGGCCGAAATAATATCATGAACACATATGCTGTTAATAAAAAAAACAACGATAATGAAGTACCTACTAAAGGAGGTAATTATTGTAGCACAACTGAAGGCACCGTAACTGAGAGATCTGTTGCCGGCACACCCTATATTCAGACGGATTAAGAATACGGAGTGTCTCCACCCCTATACGTCCCGTGTTGGTGTCGTAAGAGCCGACTAAGAGAGCAAACTACGCAAGACCTCAGCACTGCAAAAAGAGTAAGAAAACTTGAAACCTCCTTTCTAAGGAGAAGCCTATGTCCAGCCACTGGCCTACTAAAGGCTGTTGATGATAATGATGATGATATAGTAAACTGCAAATTGTGATGCAGTCTACATATCTATGTCTGTTATGTATTAAATGAAATTATAATATCTATCCTCACTTGTAAAACGGTGTATTGTTTTAAGCAAAATTTAAGTGCAAATGGGGCATTAGTATAATATGGGTTAATTAATAATGGATGAAATTCGACTACCAGGATATCTCTATTTTACATAAACTCTGCTTTAAAAGGCATTTTTAAAAGCGCAACCAAATATTATATCAACCTGTATTACATATTTTGGACAATTTCGAAAATAACCAGCATACGCGGCCTTCACTATAAAATTTACTTCTTTAAAGTCCTTGAAAAACTCGTGACCCGTTCCCGTACTATAATCAAAATAAATTAGAAATCATTGACATAAAAAAATCCATCAACGGAATTATACACATTAAAATTTATCCTAACTGAACAATACATTGTCTATGTAATTGATAATATTACAGTCATTCTGATAAGACACACCAATATTTTGATATTATAATTTTTCTAGGTATTTGTTTTGTTGATTTTTTTTTGTCATTCTTATCTTTCAGATATTGCCAGAAAGGGACACCGAGGTCTTTTATAGTAATAATGAAACACAAACACAGTCACACACACCACGTGTCGTACCACCTCTTACAAACGGTGACGTGCCATTACAAAACAATACAACTACGCCCGTTAAAAATTCAGAATCAATAGAATCTAAAAATGATGCTGCGCAAGATAATACCAATGTTACTAACAAGAGAATCAGTCGTGTAAGCGTAAAAAGTAAAATAAGTTACAGAGATTCGGAGGGCAATTTATTTTTTGAGGAGCGTAAGAGTAGTGCAGGACGTAAGACTGTGGCAGAGTTGGTGCAAAATGATCCTGATAAACGGGTGCGACGCAAACGTGGCGTGATTGCTCCCCACGACGTCGAAGACAATAAGCGTTCCTTAACTGATTTACAATATGAAAAGTACGAGAAAGATGACAAGTGAGTATTAATGTACATGATGATTCAAATATACCTATCTGTAAAAGTAGACTAAACAATAATATGAAACATGCACAATACATAAAGCAATAAAAATAAAACCATTTACCTAAACATGATAACAATTGCAAAATATATGTTTTCAATAGCATATTACAGATATTTTGCATCATCATTTTCATTATCATTATTAATATTCTAATCATAAAGACAAATTGTTGTGAAATGTTCAGATTCGAAAGGTCTGGTTAAGTCATATACCTGTATTGTTTAAGGTCCAAAGAACAAATAAAAAAAGCGGTGATGGCAAACGACTTTTTAAAAAATATAATGGTGGATGAACGACTAACATCAGTCGTAGAGGCTATGAGTCCACAAAACTTTGCAGCAGGAAGTCTTATTATCAGAGAAGGCGAAAGTGGGAGCCATCTCTTTGTGTCAGCATATGGGCAGTTTGAAGTACTCAAGGGAGGCCATGTTGTAAAAACTTTTGGAGAAGGAGAAGTGTTTGGTGAACTCGCTATTTTATATAAGGCTAAACGTTTTGCCTCTATACGATGTAAGTACACATTCACCAAAAACACCAATCTAATTATTTATAATATCGTTATTCTTAACTGAATCATATTCACAATTTTGAATGCAAAATATGCAAATTTTTTCTCTAAACTAGGTCTAACCGAAGCCAGAGTATGGATGTTAGAACGCCGCGTATTTCAAAAAATAATGATGCGAAGCGGTCAACAAGAACAAAAGGATAATCTACGATTTTTAGAGTCGGTACCACTCCTGCAAGGCATTCATCCCATAGAACTAGCTAAAATCGCCGACTTCTTGAAGAGGGTATGTGAAGTTGCTAATACTAAAACCATACTATAAGAATTAAAACCTTCATAAGTAACCTAATTGCAGGAATTTTTTTCGACTGGTACTGCGGTGGTTCGACAAGGCGAACGCGGTGATAAGTTCTACATAATTCGCGGAGGAACTGTAGTGGTAACTAAACGGGAAGGTGAAGGAGGCGAAAACCAAGTTGGAATACTGCATCGTGGAGATTACTTTGGCGAACAAGCTCTGTTACATGAAGACCGAAGACTAGCTACCGTTACCGCTCAGGCACCCGGTGTCGAATGCCTCACTCTTGAACGAGGGTAAATTTTAAATTCAAATATTACATGAAAATTCAACATCAAGAGCCTTTAATAGTCTACTGCTGGATACAGGCCTCTTTTTAGAAAGGAGATTTTGGCCCACTATACCACGGTGGCCAGTTTTCCTTCTCATTGCAGTGCTGTTGTCCAGCGTAGTTTACTCTTTTAGTCGGCTCTTACGACACCCACGAGATGAATAGGGTTGGTGACACTTTGTATTCTTAATCTGTCACCACACAGATAATATATTTTACGATTTAAATATTATTACTACAGGTTCTTACATCTTTCAGTAATGACGGTTAAAACGTTTCACTGGCCTTTCATTATAAAAATCATGAATGACCTTATCATCTCGATAAAACATGACTGACTAAAATTCAGTTGTTATCAATATTTAGTTATTCAAATATCTCATTTCAGGCATTTCACTGAATTGTTGGGTAATTTAAAAGAACTAAAAGAAATTCGACATGAAGTACCACGACTGTCACAACAAAAGAAAATGTCTCAAGTTAAAAGTGGTAGGTAGTACATAGATTTTAATGACTTCGTAAATTACCCATTAGAGAAGTATGGTTAATGTATGCTAATCCTGTTTTCTTTTTAGAATTTGAGAATGTATAATGAATTTGTAATTTCCTATATCTTTGCTAGTATATATTTGAGATTCTTTCAAGTAGTTATTAGTAAGACTATCAAAGGTATACTAGCCAGGGGTGTTGCCAATATTTATAATAAATTTAATTTACTGCCTAGTAACGTAACTTAACAGTCCTTATTAAAATTACATGTTACACAAGGCTTGGTCTCTGCAACCTATGGACTATACAGTAGTATAAGTTATCTACTACGGCAATAACTAAAAAGTTAACAATTTTTTTGTGCTGCATTCGCTATTCCCTGAGACTAATGGACACCTTTGGGACGAAATGATGTTCTGATTCATAGGCTATTTTAAGTAGTTAATAGAAATAATAATAATAACAATTTCACACATCTCACACATGGCCGTCTGATCCCAAACTAGGCAGAGCCTGTACTATGGTAACCAGACTGCCCGAGTGATCAGGGCGGCAGCATGGGATCCTTTCCTTGCGACTGATGCAGGTCCTTTCCGGGCACGGCTGATTCGGGAAGTATCTGCACTCGGTCGCTAGGAGGGAATTGAGTCCCGCCTGTCACTACTGCGGTTGCAGTGAGGACTCGGCTAAGCATACGCTGGCAATTTGCCCGGCTTGGGCGTCGCAGCGCCAGGTCCTCATTGCAGTCATCGGAGGTAACCTCTTGCTATCGGCAGTCATATGCTCCATGGCCGGTAGTGACAGATGTTTTACTGAGGTCGCATCCTTCTTTTCCATTCGCATCATAACGGCCCAAATAGATAATTTAAGCTAGAGATGATACCCGCGCCGTTGCGGGCAGGCGCTAAGAGGGTTCCGGATATCTTAATAACAGTAGTTCCCGGATCCCTCCTATTGCAGGCGCAGAGTGGCACACCGTGTGGTTTTAGTCGGTCTGATTCCGACACACCACCCTGCCGCAAACCCCAGTGGGGTGACGGCCCGAGGGGGTTTTCACAAATGGTAACCAGACTGTTGATAAACATACTTATATATTTCTAAATACATACATAATATAGATAAATTACACCCAGACACAGAACAAATGATCGTTCTCATCACACAATTATTTGTCCTGGGTGGGAATCGAACCCTCCGGCTTAACAGTCAGGGTCACTAACCACTAGACCAACAGGCCCGAAATGTAATGTAATATCTTTAACGTATTTTTTTTTAGTTTATTTTTTCTTGTTTAGTTTCAGTTTCCATACTTACACAATTTTATATTATTTGCTTTGATGATCTTAACAGCATAGATTTTTACATTTTATGCTTAGTAGTTTATTTCTGACATTAATAATAATTAATTTTTCAGAATATGAGTTTGTGGAATTGAAAGACTTAGAAATAGTTGGCACAATGGGTGTCGGAGGTTTTGGTCGCGTGGAACTGGTGCAGTACAAACGTAATCCTAATCTTACCTTCGCTCTTAAATGCCTCAAGAAAATAGACATGGTGCAACAACAACAGCAGGAACACGCTTACAATGAGAAACATATAATGATGTGTTGCAATAGTCCGTTTATTTGCAGGTATTCTTTTTCTTTTAATTAAAATTGAGTTTTTGTTCTTTTTGAAAATGTCATCATCATCATCATCAACAGCCTTTTCTAGTCCATTGCGTGACATAGGCCTTTCTTAGAAAGGATCGTTGTAATGAAAATCACTTGAACTATATAATTCCTTTATTTCTGTACTAGAAATGATAATTTAAAGTTTCCACTCTTCAAGAATATCTATGGATAAAAGTGTTAGTCACGGACAAGAAGTGTTTATTATTCTATCTTTTGCAATAATTAAAAGCCGTATAAACTCTAAATCACAGGCATAATAAAAGTGCTGTAATCGTGAGTATGTCTGGGAAGTGGGAACCGATGTGGCCAAACAAACTCACAGAGTGCATACGAGGCATTATATTCAAGTACACAAACCACGATAAAGTAAATGATACCAATCTTTTAATCCCATTTTTTTTTTATTATTTCGTAAATTAATTGATAAAAGTTTGTGTAGTGATTAATAACACTGCAGATGTGGAAGTGGAGCAAGATAGTATTCGCAGCAGACATCATCACATTTGCTCATGCATCACAAGATGCTTTTTGACTCACATTTTCTGATTTGTGTTCGTATATAATAGGTCTTTACCTATGAAATTGCCGTTTTGTATGCAATAAGTGAAAGTACTTATTTTTTCAAACTTTTTTATTCCTGTTATTCGAAGTAATCACCCATGCAATCGACGCATCTTTGCCAACGCATTGGCAGTTTATTGATGCCCTTCTTGTAAAAATCCGCTGGACGGGAGGCAACAAACTCTTCAAAGGCATTTTGTACTGCCTCTCGGGAATTGAATTTTTTACCCACTAAGCATTAATGCAGATGTGTACTATGAAGAACTGGACAGAATTATAGAGAAGCTTGCACATCTGCAACCAGCTTTGGTCAATCGGTCGTCCCCACTGCTCCTTCACGACAACGCGCAACCCCATAATGCGCAACAGACAGTCTCCAAGCTGCAAGAGCTGGGGTTGGAAGCTCTCCCTCATCCGCCATACTCACCAGACCTTGCACCTACCGACTATTACTTTTTCCAAAATTTAGACAACTTTTTAGTGGGTAAAAAGTTCAATTCTCGAGAGGCAGTACAAAATCCCTTTGAAGAGTTTGTTGCCTCCCGTCCAGCTGATTTTTACAAGAAGGGCATCAATAAACTGCTAATGCGTTGGCAAAGATGCGTCGATTGCATGGGTGATTACTTCGAATAACAGAAATAAAAAAGTCTGAAAAAATAAGTACTTTCACTTATTGCATACAAAACGGCAATTTCATGGGTAAAGACCTAATATTACATTTATTATATTTCTGCTTCTCATTGGAAGGATGAGAAGCGAAAGTAGAAAAATAAACTCTCAATTCACTAGACTTACAGTTATGGATCAAGAAACCTCAACACAAGTTAGGACATAAGCACTCGTACCTGCATATTTTTTATATACAAGTAGATAAACTTAGACCTGCAGAATGTACTACAAAACTTTATTTAGTTTCAGTAACTACAAACGTATTGCATCACTTGAGTTTTATCACACGTGTAAGGGTGTGATTAAGTGATTAAATACTATAAAAGTGTGTTAGCATAACCATCCTTTCAGTAATTAAGTAAATACCTAATGGTAATAACTTTATTGCCATTACCCAACTTTTAGTCCCAGGCACCATGACGTCATTTGCGAGACATCTGTCTATTGACTATTGTAAACAAACAAACGACGTAGGTACTATTTCATTTACAAAATTGCAACCATGTGTCGTGGCTGATATCAACAAAAACATCAAAAATTCGTGGGATTATTTGGACTTTTTTTGTTGACGGGATGGAAAATCCCTTCGGATCGCCTACTCGTCTGGGACTCAGGAGCCAGGAGTATGTGGTGATTCCACTTAATACACCAACGGCCAGCCTCAGATGCCTTACTCTGGGAGGAATCGGATCTTGTTATTTCAGGTCTTCCCCGAATCGAGACCACGCCTAATCAGGCCCCATTCCGAGATTTTTCGGACCTAATATTCTCTAGAAAAACAGAAATGTTTTGCATCGTAAATGTTTAATTTGTTTACAGGTTATATCGCACATTTAAAGATAACAAATACCTTTATTTCTTAATGGAGCCCGTGCTGGGTGGTGACGTTTGGACCCTCTTGCAGAAACAGCGCTACTTTCCAGAAAACGTTACACGGTTTATGATAGCGTGTGTAGTCGAAGCATTCCAGTACTTACATTCTAAAGACATCGTCTATAGGGATCTTAAGCCTGAAAATCTGATGCTTGACAAGCAAGGTTATATTAAATTGGTAAGTTTCTTTATAAAATTGGTAATTTTATTTCAGTACATTACAGAACTTTAGTGTTATATGGTATGCTATGATAATAATGTAAATAACTTTTAATTGTTGTATTAGGGGATCTGATATGCGTTTAATATTTATTTATTTACTTAGGTTTTATTCACAGTTTAGTTGTTATTACACACATTCGGCATTATTTATCAGGACAACCGTTTTGCGTACCTCAATGAAGCAATGAAGCTAAATATTAATTTATATACTATTATCTAATCTAAACAAGTTTTCTTGTAACATAATATAGTTTTCTTGTGTACTACTGTTGAAACGTGTTCGATAATTAAGCGATTGCAATTAGTATTTATCATAGTAACTAAATATTACTGTTTTAAAATATTATCAAAAAAAAAACAAATTATCTATACGAATCGATAGACAAGATTCAATTACAATAAAATAATCCTTGCATTAGAATCAAGAGAAGTAATCTCCCCTGGTAGTGAACAGCATGGAAACTATGGCGCTTGAAACAATTAGTAGTGGAGCACATTAGGCACATTATATTCATACCACAGCCGTACAAGATAAAATTAGCCGTGGCAGAACCATGCTAGCAAATAGGCAGGGTTGACCGTAGGGGTATAACGGCCTCACAGAAAACCGGTGTTAGGAAATCTTTTCGTTACTTTTCACCGAGTGAGTCAGGTTTCCGGAGCAGAAAGTCCTCCTGAATCCAGGGGGTGGACTTAAAACGTGACAACGCACTTGTGACTTTTCAGTTGCAAGTATCTATGGACGGCGGTAGTCACTTACCGTCAGGGGACCGGTCTGTTCTTCTGTCTGAATATTTTTCTTATTATTTTTATATTTAGTTATTGAAAAAAACATACTACGAGTATTCATCAAAATGATAATTGAGTTAAATTTAAAAGATAAGATTCGTGTTAGAGAAGTATCATCATTATCAATTAGATGAAAGATTAATGTTTCGCTATCATTATTTTTCTTTTAATCGATAGAGCATTCTTGAGGCGAAATTACGCTCAATATTGTAATGATGATCACCACACTACGTTGTAATATAATTTTCCTAGGTGTAGGTATAAATTAACAATAATGGACTAATTACATAATATCTACATTGACGGCCGGATGGCCACGCTAAAGGTCGCGGATTCGATTCCCGCTCAAGTCAAAGATTTAAGTGCATGAACATTTAATGTTTGATTTGGCCTCGGTGTTGTCAGTTGTCTGGTACCCATAAAACAAGCTCTGCTAAGTTTGGGACTAAATGGCACTGTGTAAATGTGGTAGAATATGGAATGTGGTGAATGTGATAGATGGTAGAATAGAATATTATTATCTCTTTTCCAGTAACCTAACGGGGGAATTGGACGGACACTTTGACTATATTAATATCCAAAACGATTCCTTAGATGATTCATTATTATCAGAATCACAGTCGTAGATTGTCCATTGTCCACTACCAAATTTAGACTGCCTTAAGGATTATTACAAAGAACGGCCACAGTCGCTATTAAATGGTTTATATATGTATCTTATCTGTCATTATTGTTAACACATTCGTAAAACACATTAGATGTTCGTCATATTTTATTGCATTCCATATTATGATTTCATTTCGTTACTTGTGCGTAAGTAACGACTTTGATTAGGTATATATTTTGAAGGTCATTCGATTATTTCACAAGTTTACTTATTTTTTTATCTACCTTTTTATTCTAGGTTGACTTTGGTTTTGCGAAGCGAGTTTCACCTAACGCCAAAACATGGACATTTGCGGGCACACCTGAGTATGTAGCTCCGGAAATTGTTCTTAATAAGGTTTGTTTTTAACGTTTTCTTTTCTAATCCCTACTACTACTATAAATGCGAAATCAACTCTGTCTCTCTGTTACGCTTTCACAGTTACACCGCTGAACCAATTTAAATGAAATTTGGCATGGAGTTACTTTGATTATTGAGGAAGGACATAGGATATTTTTACCGTGGTTACCGAGTCTAATATATATGTACTTAATAAAAACATAATTTAAACAAAAATGCACCTATTGTTTCTGATATTCTGACTCATTTCAACAAAGTTTGTTGGAATCGAAGCCACTCTGCTAGGGTTTTTTTAATGGAAGAGGGGGCAGACGAGCAGACAGGTAAGCTGATTTAGAAAGGTACCTATCTTTATCTAATGAAGAAAACGTTATAATAATAATATAATAATAACTTTACACATCTCACATACGGCCGTCTGATCCCAAACTAGGCAGAGGCTGTGCTATGGTAACCAGACTGCTGATAAACATTTCTATATATTTTAAATACATAAATATTATAGATAAGTTACACCCAGACACAGAACAAATGATCGTGCTCGTCAAACAATATTTATCCTGGGTGGGAATCGAAGCAACGACCTCCGGTTTAGCCACAGCCACTTTAGTTACATTTTAGTGCAAATTTGATGTTGTCAACCTACATTACTGTGTTGTACCTACATACATAATCTTTTATATTAGATTAACAAAGAACAAGTAATGATTTAATCCAATGTGAGAATTTTTAAAGCTTTTTTATAAAGAAATATTCTCATATATTCTATTCTATTCTTCTATTCTAAAGAGTGTGCATAATTTTCAATATTGACTTCAGGGTCATGATCGGGCTGTTGACTGTTGGGCGCTGGGTGTTTTAATACATGAGTTGCTGGTAGGAAGGCCGCCGTTCCGCGCCCCTGGTGGAGACCACATGAAGACTTATACGCTAATACTGCGGGGCATAGATGCGGTGGTTTGGCCGCCGCGAGTAGCAAAATCTGCTCAATTGCTGATACGTAAACTGTGCCGACCCATCCCTGCTGAGCGCCTCGGCTACCTCAAAAACGGAATAGTGGACATAAAAAATCATAAGTATGTATAAAATGAATGCACAAATTAGCAAATTTGTGTTTAGTGATCATTATTTCAGATGCAGTTATACTAAAATCTTGAATCACTACTTAAGGCATAACGGAATACAATTGGAATGCGCATTTCAATATTAATAAAAATAATAATTTTCACAGAGAGCTGATTGATTCCATGATAACTTTACTAGGCAGAACCTGTACTATGGTAACCAGACTTCTAATAAACATACTTATTTCTAAATACATACATATTATAGAATAATTATGTTCCAATTTGATGCAAATAAACACAATGTTTAAAAATCTACTGCGGTACACATGCTGAAGATTAGCTGAAAAATTAAAAGACTAAAAGGACACTCCATATCGACCTATATCTTATTTTGTAATCCTTACATCTTCGCCATTTGTGCGGAAGCAAAACTATTCAATCGATTTTAAAAATCAAATTGGATATACTTATTAAAGGTTTCCCTATTTTAATTGAAAGAAAATATTCACTTATTGTCAGGGTGAAAAAATGAGCTATAAAGAATGTTATCAATTGTTTGAATTCACTATGATTTAGACGCGTTGAAGTCAGTTATTTTTTAAAAGATCATCAAAGAGCATTAAAGAGTACCTTTAGTTTGATGTTGCTTGACTGGCTTTTGATGTTGCATATTCAAAACACATTATATCATAAAGTGATTTGATTTTGTTCCGTTTAAAAAAAAACTTTAGAAGAACTGCAAAAGGTAATAGTTTTTAACGAAGCTTGCTATAAAGTTAATTAAATCATAAAACTAGGTGTAAAACATATATTTTGATATGTTTAGCACACAAGTCGATACAACGTCAGTTTAAAATAAAAAAAAAACAAAAATTATTTGCGGAATAAGAATAAGGTCTTGGTTACATTTTGTATATGATTTACATCTGATTGTCATTAGATTCTTATTAAAACCAGTAGGTATATGACTATTCTAAAATGTGCAAGAGTGAATAGAAAAAAGTAAATCAAAATGTTTCATTTTTTTTTGCAATCGACCTGACCTAGGCAGTCGCTTGACTATGATGTTAGATGCAGGACATTAAATATATTAAAATTTTAATTGTTTAAATTATACTGGTCAATGACACATTAAAAACCGTGAGGAATCTTATATTAATTGTATCCCAACAAAATGTATCTACCTACGTATCAATTTCATTTACTTATTTTGGTATACGATAATCTACATTTAAAAATGTTAAGTTGGTTTGTGTACGCTTCAAAAACTCAAAAAGTTCTGTACCGATTGAGCTAACATTTTGACACTATGTAGAGACAGTATATTTAAAGATGGTTTTTATCTATTTTTCATGTCAGTTTTATTCCTCATTTTCGTAACCGCAATCTTCCACATCGAAGCGTGGCAGGGTACTGCTAGTATTATACATTACAGCACCTTACTCGCCTTCACCTTTTTTTATCACAAAATATCATGTAACACGACGGCAATGGAAAGGAGTAGCCATGTTTGTGTTATCACCAGATGCAAGTAGTGTTAAGTAATTTGTAGTCTAAAAGGAGATATGATTACCACTAGTACCACCTAATCATAACGACCTCATAGTTAAAAATTACATCACTTGCTATTTAAGTTTGAACATTATTTAAGTAGCTGTTAATAAACTTCGTATGTACAAGGTCACACATTGCCATTGTTCCGTCATTCTGTACCAAAAGTAGTTTTTTTATGTTAAATACTAACTGATATAAATTCATTGCGTGTCTTGACGAACATTGACGATAGTTCACACATTACTTTTGTGAATATTAATTGACAGTTGTCACTGATATTATTCTACCTTAATAAATTTAATCTAGCCACATTATCAAACCCATAAGTCATATAAACTACACACTGTTATCAGTTTCTTAAGTAGCGAAAGTAGCGAAGGTCAGTTGATAACACTATTAGAGATTATGTTATATATTCTCTAATTAACACTTTTTAGTTTAATTAGGTTAAATTGTAACAAATTATTTTATATTTTAACTTGTTTTACAGTTTGAAACATATCTAACTCACACAAGGTCCACCGTTGCTTAGGTGACGTAATAATGCGATCTAAAAGCCAATACACCTTTAAAATTTAGAACTTGCATATAATTGTTCAATTAAATATTTTTTCCACTCCTGTCACGTAACTAATTGAAGTCTGAAATACTTTCATAGGTCTTAAAATATCCAATTTCGTTTGGCTTTTCTAGATGGTTCTTGGGCATCGAATGGGACGGCTTAGCCGAGAGAAGACTAAAAGCACCGCTGATACAACCTATCGCCAGTGACTTGGATCTTGGTAACTTCGAGAAATATCCAAAAGACAAACTCCCAGCAGATGAAAACTCAGGATGGGACGCAGACTTCTAATCTAATAAGATAAAATAATATGGTCTATTATTTAAATATGTATTATTTCCATCTTTAGTATTGATGTAAACCTATAGTAGAAAAAAAATACATTGGCATGTTATTTGCCAGATTTCACCACACAATATACTAGTTGCACTGAAACATAATTTATAAAAAAAAATGTTGTTAATATAAACTAAACTTTTCTGTACTTATAACTTATAGGAATACTTAATAATATTATTTATTCAAGTTTCCAGGACTTACTTAAATTAGTAGGCTTAAGAACAATAATAATAATAATTAGTAAAATAGTATTACTTAAAGTAAAATACAAAAGTACAAAAATGCCATCTCGCAATCATGCTTAGAATGCTCCTGCAAGCTTCCCTCCCTCACTCTGCATATACCTGTATGACACTGCTAACTTTTTCCATAACACACCATATGAAACTTGATGAAAAGCACAAAAGATAGATCAAATAAGCAATATACCTATACTTACTCAAAAAAAAATCTTTCCTTAATTAGTTCTGGTTGCTTTAAATGAAATACTGGAGCATGTATTACAGAACTGATTAATTAATTTATTTGGAAAAAAAGTCTAATTTCAGCAAATCAGTTTATTAGTCCGGCCTATCAACTGTATTAGCTGTAGTTATTAGCTTTACTGTAAGGGTTGCACGTAAAATTCATCCTAAAAATACACGCTATGCTACGGTTTTCTTAATTTTTCTGAGCCTTTTGATACCTCTCCTGTACCCATTCTAATTTAGATCCTTTCGGTGCTTCTTCAGCGGGGCAAAGCAGCAAAACTCCCAAGCACGTTTTGAATTGAATTGAACGCATAGAATAAAATCTTAAGAGAATCAATGGAGTTTAAAAAATTTTTGGTTCAAAATATATATATTAAAAAACTTAAGAATTAGTCGATATCGATCTTTAAATGTGTAGTAGAAACACAGAGCAGTGTTCTGTGAGTAGAAATAATTGTTCACATCACTACGTACAACGCAATGTACCCTAATTGATTTAATAGCTTACATCAACAATCATTTTTTTTAATAATATAAATACATGTTATATTTACAGTATCATACTGTTTACAAATAATTATAAATAGTATAGTCAAATTAAAAGGTCTAAGTGGTTTCTCTAACAGCGCGTTTTAAACTTAAGTTTAAAACAGTTTCTTTTTGGAAACCTTAGAAAGGAAAAAAATTGACAGAGTATTCGTTAGTTTCCGATAACAGTTTTCTATTTCTTCTACTCATTTTTTTTTAAGATTTTTACCTTGAACGTTCTGAGAGGCTACTAGTTACATGTTAAATCACACACATCATTAACAGCCTAAAATAATCCACTGCTGGACATAAGCGTCTCCTTAGAAAGGAGGTTTTGGCCTACAAACCACGCTGGCCAGACGGGTTGGTATAGGGTTTGTGTCAAGTTTTCCTTCTCTCTGCAGTGCTGTTGTCCTGCGTAGTTTACTCCCTTAGTCGGCTCTTACGACACCCACGGGATGAATAGGGTTGGTGACACTCTGTATTCTTAATCCGTCACCACACGGATAACATTGACAAATAAATATATCACATTCTTCCAGAAATTTCTAGTTTGTTAGTTAATTTATTAGTATTAAGAAAAAACAACGAAATATTTTTGTAATTTAATATTTAGAGGTTAGTAGTTTCAGTTTTATATAAAGAGTTTTGGATACGTTAATTTTCGTAGTTATATTTTAAATATATTTTTAATAAAATTATTCTGTAAGAACCCCTCTGCAGGTATAGGCCCCCTATAAATTGAGCCAGTTTTCTATGGATTGAGCTGTTTGTGTCCAGTTTGGACCCGCTATGCATTTAATTTCGTCCTCCTATCTAGTGGAAGGTCTCCCCTTCTTTCTTTTGCCCACTGGCCCCCACCATGCTGTCACTCTTTTTGTCCACCTTTGATCTTGCAGGCGTGATACGTATCCGGCCCACTTCCATTTTAATACAAGAGCTTGTGCTAAACCGTCTGTTCTTAAAGTTCTTTCCTCTTCTCTGGGATTTTTGGGTGAAATCTACCGTTATGTGGTAACGGGTATTTTTTGGTGCGCTTTTTATTTTTAAACAAATTAATTTTTGTGCTGAGTATGCAAAAGTGACCATTATTGGACGAGGTCGATTATTAGTTACATATGTATCTAGGGTTAAATACCTTAACCTGTAGTGTATAACATTACTACTACTTATGTATCACAAAAATATGTATTACTTGTTTATTCACAACTAACTAGTTTATTTATGTAGTTTAGGTATTTTTATTTCAAATTCTTTGGATTGTTTATTTGCTTTCTAAAATACAGGATCTAAAGTTACTAGCGTAGATTACATATATTTGTCATGTATACAATCAACTAAGGACTGCAATTGTCAGAAATTACATCCTTCTTTTTTTTTTTCGTGCGGAAATCCCCTCGGTTACCACCTATCGGTAGCATGTCGGACTCGAACCGACTAAAACCGCACGCCGTCTCGGGTACTAATAGCCGGAGAACCAGGTATACCCTAGAAAGGAAGTCCCTGGTGCCCCGACATACTTCGGGCCATCTACAACAAGTAGACGACCCCTCCCGTGTGGGAACCCCATGTACCCTCTGCTCCCTGGAAGCGAGTGCGCTTCGCAACGCGCTCGCCGCCACTCCGGCCTGGGGGTTAATAACAACGGGTTTTAACGCCGCGATGACGGCGTGCCCGAGAAATTACCTCCTAAAATCGTAACACCGTTATATTTATGCACTTACATGGCACACGATGTCAGTTCAACGGTTATATTAGGTCTTTACCTATGAAATTGCCGTTTTGTATGCAATAAGTGAAAGTACTTATTTTTTCAAACTTTTTTATTTCTGTTATTCGAAGTAATCACCCATGCAATCGACGCATCTTTGCCAACGCATTGGCAGTTTATTGATGCCCTTCTTGTAAAAGCACCTACCGACTATTACTTTTTCCAAAATTTAGACAACTTTTTAGTGGGTAAAAAATTCAATTCCCGAGAGGCAGTACAAAATGCCTTTGAAGAGTTTGTTGCCTCCCGTCCAGCTGGTTTTTACAAGAAGGGCATCAATAAACTGCCAATGCGTTGGCAAAGATGCGTCGTGCATGGGTGATTACTTCGAATAACAAGTTTTAAAGGGGTTTTCTAAGAGGAAGTTCCTTAGTTACTCCTTATATAGAAAGCTACCTAGTAGTAAAATATTATCAAAATCGGTCCAGCCGTTTAGAAGATTACCCGGCACAGGCAGACACACAGACAAAAAAAAATGTTTTTTAGCCATAGGTATCGTGCAAATAACCTTGTGAGCATGACAAAAACCTTTTATTTTCACATTACAAACAGACATTTATTTATTTGTACAGATTGTATATACACTTTAATTTCTCTCAACTGAAATTCTTTATTTCTCTACTTCTTTTCCAAAACTAAAACTTATTAAATGTCCACGGTTGTACTCATCTGTGATAGCGTATAACGTGAGATTGAGAGAAAAGCGGCGAAACGATAATAAGGACGTTGGGAGAACAACAGGCGCAATCGCAAAATAAACATTTAAGTGTACTAGGCCAGCATATCGCGTTTGTAATATAACGAGCGTACTATACACGTAATTTATGCATACGATTTAAGTCCATGTGTTCTCCGCAAGTAATGCCTTTAGATCATACTCGTAAATAAAAATATTTTTCGGGCCGGTCGAGTGGTTGCTCAATGGGTCGTAACAGGTCGGAACTCCATTACATCGCATTTAAATAACTCAGTTTTAATAGGTAGGCCAATCACATGAAAGTAAGAATTTGACTGTCCGTTCTGTACGAAAATTTTGGAAATATTGTGATGGATTTGAAAGTTGCCCAACTTATGCCCCTAGCTTACCAATTACGGTGTCAGTTGACCACGGTATCCTCGTTTGTTGTCCTGCTGTTATAAAATGTTTTATGAGGAATAAAAGCTACGAGTAAAATGATGCTATGTATGTGATTAATGCGTATTACTTACACTTTTGATTATTTAAAGCACCTTTAAAGTAATTAAGTTTATTAGCTATTAATACACATTTATTTATTATCCGATTTATTTTTTAAACTTTGCGTTTTTTACTTACGATGCTTATCGTCTATTATTATACTAAATATGAATAATACAGAGCTTAAATATTTAAATATACATTTATCTACTTCACCATTTTCAAGCAGTAAAATAAAACCATTCTGTGTTGCTCATAACTCATTCTATTTATTATACAAATAAAGATGTCTCCCATTGTTAACTAATTAGGTAACAATTACATTTCACAATTTTAACAATTAGATTATTTGCGGTCGAAGACATACGACATTTGTTGTTTTTTTAAGTTTTTTTTTTAAAAGAAATTTTATTTCAAATAGTTATATTATATTGGCCCCTTTTAAACCTTCTTTCTAAGGAAAGGCCTATGTCCAGCAGTGAACTGTTCTAGGCTACTGATGATAGTTATTTTAAACGAAATCATCTTAATGTACCTACCTATGTTCACGATGTTCGTACTTTTACGTAATTGCATAAACCTAAAAAGTAACTTTGTAATCCGATCTGTTGTATAAAATAACAATTTTACTTGCGTTTAGGGTTTTTTTCATTTTATTTTTAGGGTAAAAAGGCAAAAAAGGAACCCGTATAAGATCACTTTCTTGTCCGTCTGTCCTTGTGTCCGTGTGTCACCACCGATTTTCTCAGGAACGGGTAGACCTAGCAAGTTGAAATTTATACCAGATACTGAGGTTTATGGTCCCTATTAGGTGTAAAAAAATCGAGGTCCTGAGTAAACACGATAAAAAGATATGGGCAAATTTCAATTTTCGCGAAACTTGTAAGTACCAAAATTTACCTTAATTTTCAACTTATTTTCTTTTTACTTGTGCTGTAAGACCTTGCTTTTAACAAAAATTGACAATTCTAGGTCAACCGGAAGTACCCTATTAGGTGGTCCTATA